CACAGTTTAAAAAATCCTCTGGCTTTCTATAAAAAGTTTACTGTCAAGATTTGGAGACAGACCTGTACCCACCTGCAAGACAGAATATAATGTGCTCTTTGCTTGTATTTATATTTGGGACATCTGGAGAAATGAAGGAAACTTTCAAGGAGACGGTCATATTGGCTTTAACTAGGCACTAACCAGGCTTTAGTGTCTGAAGAACATTTTTACAGAAACAAAAAGGTAGAAGTTATTCTACACAGAGTGAGTTTTGCCAGAATATGCAACGAAAATGAAAAGCTTACCCATGTGCCATTCATCTGTTCATTCAATGATCTGTTTACCAATATTTAACAAATATCTACTAAATGGATAAGATTTTAGTGATAATTTTTTGATGATATGACATATATTCAAAGAAATTATTCCCTCAACCTCAACGTCAATAGGTTTTAAACACAATCCTGTCAGTTCAAATGCATATATATATGTTTAGTAATTATCATGACAAATTTGTTAAGATTCGGCACCAGCTAATAGATGACTTTTGGGATGCATGAATGAGAGCTCTTCTCAAATACCAAGGGACATTAAAATAATTAGAAAATTAGAATTTCAGATAAAACTAAAATAAATACACTTGTCTAGAAATGTTACATAACAGTGGTAAGATGCAGTATAAGCCTAATATGTCTTAGCATGACTTTTATCTAATAAACAAAGACATTCTATTACCAGCTTGCAGATGTTGTAAAGCTTGGAATGACAACTTTTTATTTATAAATTATAAGCTCATGAGTATTTCTAAAAACTATATATAATCTTGAACTTTGTTCATGAAAACCTTTTTTTTTTACATATATTAGATTTATATTTAAGAATGAAAAAGGAAGTCATTTTGAGATCATCCTGCTCAAGATAAGTAGCTTATCTTTGGCTCTGCTTCAAAACTGATGGAACTTTAACAGACTAGTGTTTCAAATTCTATCCGCATGATGGGAACTGTTGTTTATGTCCCAATGTCATAATATTTTTAAAATTCAAGAAATAAATAGCTGAAGAATACAACAAATCTATGAACCTCGTTAAAAGAATATTTATTTTATTTTAGAAGCCAAAGGATTTAAGTGAAAAAGAGAATAGGCTTTACTATCATGTAGACATAGCTCGATTCAACCCAAATTTAATTGGGAATTCGTTTCTATCTAGATACAATGAAGAATTGATTTAGAACTATCTTTCTCCTCATGTTTTCTGACTATCAGGTAGACGTAGTACTAATAGTAAAGAAATTTGATATACTTCAAATCCTGCTTTACCACAAAGCAATTTTGTGATTTTCATAAATTTCATCTTTCTCGAGTTGTTAAAATGTGATAATAATACTTCAGTTTCATGGTAGATGTGAAGACAACAATGAAAAATACCTTTCTTTTTCAAAGTTTCTTGCATAATGCTAAGTGTACATTAAGTTCTTATAAATACTGACCCATTTTCCCTCTTTTCTTTTTTCACAATAGGTCCTCTTTCAGGTAAATCAGCTCTCAATAGCATTTGTTCAAAGTTATTACTTATGGTGACTTATTCAACATATTTCAAAATCTAACAGCAAACTACAGACAGAATATAATTCATAAATATCTGATTCATTTATTGCACTGCCATTAAAAGAATGCAGTGTCCTAGATAAAGCTATCAAGGCATGTTTTTAAATTAATATTTTAACCTGTCTAATTTTGTATGTAACCCTGTGCCCCTGTGTCATCTGGTGTCTCTAAAGAAGCCATTATTCTCTGGCTATATTTTTTAAAAGAGAGCGAAAACATGCACTAATATTAAGGGATATCACATACAGTTTAGTTACAATAGTAGATCAAGTTCTGAAACCATTTCTTTCTTATCCTACTAAAATTAAACAAATTTCATGGGGGTAATTTAGATTTTTTAAACATTTAAATACGTCACTTAATTTGATAAATAGTTCGTGAAACAACATGGTTTTGAATTAATACATTTCAATGTGCATGTCCTTAATTTTCAGTTTCCCAAATAAATGGTTTCTTTTCCTAAATGTATTTTTTGCATCACAAAGTTATTTTGGTAATACTTATGTTCTCAAAAGTTAGGTCTATATTTGTGCTGATTAAAGAGACACAGCCATGATATTATATCCCTGATCAAAATATTCTCAAATCTCTTAAACTATTGAGGTGTCAATGCCCCTGAAAGGGTTAGAAATAGAAAACATGAGGAGGAAGACAGTTCTAAGACAACTCTTCATCGTAACTAGATAGAAACAAATTTCCAATTAAACTTGGGTTGAATCAAACCAGTTTTAGTGTTTATTTTAGTGGGGGAGATAGGGTATAAATTGGGTGAAAAGGCTAATTTTTTATTTTGAATTGTCTCCTCAACCTCATTTTTAATGAGAACCAAATAATCATGGTGGGGTCTCCATAGGTATGAGAGGCTAGAAACACTGGTTTCAGCTGAGTCCCAGCAATTCAATTTATAAAGGCAAAGTGTGCATTAAAATTTGATTTCATAAAATATGTGGCAATAATGGTTTTGGAAAAAAGGTAATTTAATAGTTTATTATATTTTCCCTTTACCTAACATTATTTTAAAAAACACAACAATCATATTTTCATAAAATAACCAGTCCCTGATTTTATAGTCTGAGCTACTGCTTAGTACTTCTCATATATCTATATTTACTTATAGATCTATATTAACTTTAAGCACTGATAATTAAAATATTTACTATTGAACAAATGTGTGCATATCTTTATTTTTGTGCCAACACATGCATCGATCAGAAAAGAGATGCAATTTCAGTTTTCAGCTGCTAAATATAATGTTGATCATCTGTATTGCCATAAATAATTCTGGCAATTAAACATGCAGGTATAAAAATATATTTCCAAAAATATATGTTTGAAAGTATTTTTAATTCAGTGGGGTTAAAATCAGGGCATCTTAAAGGAGTTATTATATTTCAATATAAATGTAATCATGTTTATAATAGGGTATGCTGATAGCATTTGACTAAATGATCAGATATGTTTATTACTTTGAAATCATAAAAGAAAAATTAAAATAATGATTGTCATTGTTTCTATCTTTCACCTACAGTTCAGAAACAGCAATTTTTCTAAGCTTAGTTATTACAGTGAAGTTTTTAATAACATCTAGTTCACAAAAATATTGATAGACACAGCCAACCAAATATTGAAAAATAGACAATCTAACTTTCAGATTCCTTACCAATTAAAATGATGTAATAGTTTATAAACATAGTCGTTTTTTTAAAATGTATTTAGCTTTGGTTTTTTTTTTTAATGAGGATGTTAAAACAGGTAACTTTTCAGTCCTATAGATGGCTGTAGTTCTCCATGGAGCATAAGTTAGAAAGAAAGTTTGAAATGTATGTATAGAATAAGACATTAAAATTTCCTCTAATGAAAAAGAATACAAGCATTGCTTGTTATTTCCTATTAATACAAAGTATGAATTAAGGTTATTTTATAAGGAAAGTTATTTGGTCTCTTACTAGTTTAATAACTAAAATGGCTAAAAATTCATATAGAACTTTAACTTGTCATAAATTTATGCATTTTTATATTGATCGTTTGGAAACAAGTGTCACAGAAAAATAAAATATAAAAATTACAAAATTGTAAAGCTTGTAAGTAATGGAAATCTATTCCTCTCATATATCTGGTAAATTGAAATTGATCTTGTTGCTTTTTTCCCCCCTTAAACATTTAAGGAGGATATTTTCTGGACAACAGTGTCCAGGTGAATAAAGGTGGGATTAACAAATGTAAGTTTAAATAGCAAACCCAGCACAGTGATGAAGATTTCAACATTTTAACATCTCCACCCACTCTTACTCTCAATATCTAATTCAGAGCTTTACCAAAAATACCCCAAAACCCAAAACACTCTCCAGTAGTCTCTTTTCTTAAATTCTTTGTGTTGTGATTATGTACTGTGAAAGGCAGGAATTATATGAGTCTTAAGAGGCGGTGTTTTATTAAAACTGAAAAAGTTTTACAAGTTTGTCTATTTTTTTTTTCTTAATAAAACAGCTAAAGCTTCCTTCTGTCTCCTCCCACTCCTTTGGCTTGGTGCTTACTCTTTAAGCAACTTGCTGCATTTTATAGCTATGGAATTTCACTGGGAAGGGCCTCCCTAAGAAACCATGTGAACCGGGATACACCATAGTGGATACACCATAGTGAATGCAGGCAGACAAGATAAGAGATCCCTTTCCTCAGCTCTCCCAAACCCTCAATGCCTTTCCAGTATTCTCTTTTTCTAGTCACAAAACGCAGCTGAGTTCACAGCTGGAACAAGTTGTGCAGTGAACCCTAGTGATTTACCCAAGTAGCAAACAGGGTCATTGGCTTAATTGGAATCTCGGTAGCCAGGAACACTAAGAATCACTAGCCTGGGTCGAGCAACACGGAAAAAGTGTTTCTGTTTCTTGACAGCGAATGAAAATGACGCAGAATGTATCGATCGGTAGAATATTGATCTCTTTCCTTCCTTCGTTCTCCCACTTTACGAGCCGGAGAGCCAAGATCTCACTTCTATGCACCCAGGTGACCCCGAGATCTCCATTTTCCCCAAATGCATAAAAGGCTAAAACCGGCCACATTCCCCAGCACCACGACGTGGCTACAGCTCCTTTGTTTACCATATAAGTCACACCGGGGGTTCACTCCTCGCCCTCCCCCCTGCTTTAAAACCGGGTGCGGTGGAAGACTGAGGAGAACCCCCAAACTCCCTCTCAGCCCGAGTCAAGCACCGAAAGCTTCACAGAATTTTTTCCTGAGCCTCGAAGAGAAACCATGCAGTCAGAACCTTTTGAACTCATAATCCCCCAGGAATGCCCGTCTCCCAGAAGAGAGCCGGCTTCCCAGGCAGCTTAGGAAACTTAACCGAGATCCCAGAAAGAAGGCGAGGTGCAGCTCCGGTCGAACGGAGCTCCGAGGCGACATCCTCTTTACCTGCAAAGTTGCAATCTTCGGGCTGAAGTGATGGGATCCGAGGATGGACCGCGCGGGTGCTGTGCGGGGTAAGAGCACGCCCGGCAAATTCCGGTGGAATTCCCTTAGTCGCTGCCGAGTTTTGGAGCATTCCAAGGAAAACGCATGAAGCTGGAGCCCACGCAGCTGGCACCGAACTGGGCGGAGTGAGGATGCTCTGAAAGCGAAGCCATGGGAGGCGGGGGAGGGGTGGGCCGGGAGGGGGAGGTGAACGCCAGGGGAGGAGAACCTCTCCCACCCCCGCCCGGGCAGATCCCTCTGGATAAAGTTAAGAGTTCCCACGGCTGACAGCGGATGAGCCCAGAGAAAGGCAGCCCGCCCTCCGTCCCCAGCGGCTGCCTGGCTCGGGGTCCGCACAGACCTCGCTGGAAAGGGATAGTCCGGGAAGATGCGCGTCCCACGCACCACACTGCTTGGAGGTGGAGGGGACCCGCGCGCGGGCAAGAGCTAACGCTCGGTCCCCGGCTCGGCTACCCTCGAAGAGCTTCCACCTACCGGGCCAACTGCTTGAGGTCAGCCAGTGGGTAGGGGAGCTCACCACCAGCCAGCCGTCATCCAGCCAAGTCGGTGGCGAGAATCCACCCTGTGGTCCTGGATGCAAGCCAGACACACCTCCAGGCTTCGGGAGAGCTATGCAGGCGTGTTGGTCTTCAGTGCGCTCTGACACCCAGCTTTTGAATGAATGCCCTGCTCCCAGCCCGGTAAACAAGCTCCCATGCGGCCAGCCGCCCGACTGGAAAAAAGTAGACCCCTGCAACTCTCAAAGCTTCTCCCACTCCGGTTTCTCTTGGCGCCTGGCACCCTCTTTCCTGTCCTCAAGGTGTCAGACTTCCCCTGCAAGAGCTGGAGGATGCGGCTTGCCACTAGTGTCAACAATCGAAACAGTCGCAATGAATAAATGATGAGCCACCGCGTTTCAACCTCCCCCCCACCCCTAGCTTGGTCTTTCCAAAAGGCATAGGAAATCAGCAAGTTTTCACCGAATATACAAAATCCTAAGACGCGAGCCAGCCTAAGGGTGCAAGGTTCTGGCAGCTGCAGGTGATGTGCGAGTGTGCGAGTGTGTGTGTGTGTGTGTGTGTGTGTGTGTGTATTACTAGTACCAGCTTACTGAGATTGAGATTCAAGATAAAGGTTATCTCTTGGCCAATCTCTTTGGTGTTCACATATGAAAATAAGATTAAAGTGCAGAGAGGAATACGCACACACACCACACATACACACGCACTGTTGGCAAAGTTGGCAATAACTCTTGCTGTAAGTGCAATACGGTAATTCCCAGCTTGGAGGCTTGGCTGCTTGTGACCCCATGACCCAGAGAAAGAGAGTTCATGTGTAAGACAGAGAGTGGAGCCCTTGAGGCGATTACCCTCCTCGAGACTCTGTTTCTATCTGATTTCCTTTATTTTCTGAAAGCCTTGAGGTTAGCTGCTAGTCTCTGATTGAATCCCACCAGATGCCTGATCCAGCCTCCAGTTTGTGCAACAGATAAGGAGCAACGGTTTACCCCTGTCCCAGTCGCGTTGTTACAGCTGGGACGCTGTGCTGTGCCGACTACAAGGAGGACCAGTTTCTTCCCATGGAATATTCCCAAGGAATATAAACCAACAAACTGGCATCCATATTCAGACTCTAAAGCACAGAATTAAAGAATTTCCTTTTTTATCTTCCCTTACCCACTTCATAGTTCACATGAGTTGAGGTTTTTGTAAATCTCAAATGAGTAAAGAGGATATTACCAGAGATCACACTGGGGTGACTATGCGTGCTGCTTTTTTTTTCTTTTAAGTCACTTTACTTATTTGTTAATTTATCTTTCTCCCTGCCTAACTGTTCCTCTATGGGTTTATTCCAAGCTCAGCTAGACCCCTATTCTAAATTTCTGGGAGCACTACCTCTAGTCCTTCCCAAAATACTGAAGTACATTGAGATAAGCCTGGTTCCTACAATGCCTCTGCAGTAAAAAAAAGGCGAGACCAACAAAGGCTTTTTTCCTTCCCCAAATCTCTTTTTACTCTTTGTTGCAAGAAGAATACATTGACATGTTTAAACAGTTCTTTATTTTTCCTTACATTAAATGATGGCTTTTAAAAATATGCAAAATGCATCTGTCAGTAGGCAAGGTAATAACTTCATAATAAATTCAAGTCCACTTTCTAATAAGGGAGGGGGGACTATATATATATATATATGTGGAATTCTATGTTATTTAATGTAACTATAAGTATTATTGACAGTGTTTCTTCTCAGCCTAAAAAACAACGTTACATATTGTGTTTGAGTTTATATCTTTGAGAAAAACCCTTGGTAGATAGAATTCCACATACTGTGATGAGTATAGGTCTTTTTAATGCATTTTAAAATACATGCAAAAGAAAAGCTGATCAGTGACAAACTTGCCCATTGTTTAGAAATTATGAACTTTACTTTGCAACCTTAGCATCTGTACCAAATTAAATGCTCCTGCGCCTCTAAGGATTTGTTCTTTATAGCAAACGTTATCTCCGTCATGATGTCAGTGAAGAGATATTTTACCAATTTCCCCTAATTCATAATGTTTTCCCATAAAAGATGCCTATGAAACTGCAATAAATACATAATAGAAAAGAACATCAAGGACGGCATTATGTAAGTCAGCCATCGAAGCAGGCTGTTCCCACGGAAAGGAGAATTTGTATTGATCACAGAGCCTCCTTTTCAACAGTTTCATGTGATTATTGATTGCTGGTCTCATGTCTCCTACAAAATGATTAGCAATTACAGGAAAATTATTAGAAATTTGTTTAAACAGTCTGGTGAATTGCATATACTACAGTCATCAGCAATCCAGAGTTTATTTCTAACAATTTAAACATACGAGTTTGGCAGCATTCCACAAACCTGGACTCCACATAAAATGCAATTCATTGAAGTCAAATAAATTTACAATAAACTGTTATATGCTATCTGAAATTTATTTTTAGTACCTTATTAAAGACGAGAGCACTCTTGTTTCAAAATTAGCAAAAGACAAGTGACCTAAGAAATGATAGCAGTAGGCCGGGCGCGGTGGCTCACGCCTGTAATCCCAGCACTTTGGGAGGCCGACGCGGGTGGATCATGAGGTCAAGAGATCGAGACCATTCTGGTCAGCATGGTGAAACCCCGTCTCTAATAAAAATACAAAAAATTAGCTGGGCATGGTGGTGCGTGCCTGTAATCCCAGCTACTCAGGAGGCTGAGGCAGGAGAATTGCCTGAACCCAGGAGGCGGAGGTCGCAGTGAGCCGAAATTACGCCATTGCACTCCAGCCTGGGTAACAGGAGCGAAACTCCGTCTCAAAAAAAAAAAGAAGAAAAAAGAAATGATAGCAGTAAAACAATTCTCTGTAATGTCTATTTATAGCTAATGTATACTGTAGATTTGGGATTACCATTGTTTTAGGAATACAGTTTTCAATTTACTCCTAAAGGTTATTGTTCTGTTTAAGAATTGATATGTAACATGTATGAAACACTTTGTTCCAAACTGTTATACTTCGGACATAGAGACAAAGTCACAGAGACAAGTATTTGGAGAATTTATTCATGCACACGTGTCACCATCAGCATTTTATGTGCCAGTAATGCATCTGTGTATGATGCCATCATGAAGTGGATGATAATGGCCTTTCTGATCCTAGGATAAATTAAGAAATAGGTTATCATTGTCTTTGATGCCCATGTGACCTGTCTTCTACCTTTGTGACCAGGACTTTACTTCATATTGCTCAAGGGCTTACCCAGACTCACTGAAGGGCCTCTACCTCTGCTTAACATTTGGACCTTGGCTCCTGCTCCCGGTTTTTGAATCCTCTAGTTTGTCATCAGGGTAATGAGGCTTCGATCTAACCTATTTGACCATGCCTTATACACAACTTTTTATTTGCCTATTTTTTTAAATTTAGCATTTTCTAAGTTATGAAAATTCTATTCAGAAATGTTAATTTTAATGAATTGCTGTATATTTCTATGAAATACTTAAATATTTTTCAGGTCTTGAAAATGTCATTGTTTTAAACTATTAAAACTATTCAACTTTTGTTGAAAGCCATTACATACATTTTTGTCTCTATCTCTGATTATGTCCAAATAGATTCCTAGTAATACAGCCATGAGTACATTCTCTAGGTATAGGGAGCTTATTGCATTGAACCTTCATCAATATGGGGCATACTGAAGGTCCCTTTTCTTTTTTTACATTAGCAGACTTCCTACTTGAAAAAAAAGGCTATCTCAACTAAGGAGCTCTGTTACTAGAAACAGTGACTTTTATATTTTGCATGCTTTGCTACTTGTTTCCTTTTGTGAGTTTATATACTTTTCAATACTTATGAGGGTTTTGTTGCTTTACCCCATTTGGTTTATAATAACTCTTAATATTTGAACATTAGTATATTCCCATATTTATGGAAGGTATTTCTCAGTTTTTGTTGATTGTTAAATTTAGAGGTAACATTATTAGTTTTAAAGTGTTTTCATTCTTACAAACATTATCAAATTTTCCCTGATAATTTCTTTTAGGACTTGAATGCTCCTGATATCTTTTTTCCTCCCATATTCACTTATTTTCTTTTCAAGCTTTTAAAAAATGATTTCATGTTTAAGGTAATTGCTTAGTCATTCATTTCATGGCCCCTGGAATCATGTTATCTAAATGTAAAATCCCAGTCTCAACATTCATTCAACAAATGCTTATGGAGTCTGTGTTTAAATCATTTATGGAGTACAAAGCATTTTGCTAAGTGCTTCACATACATCTGTGAGCAAAACAGATAAGATACTGATATTTTGAAGAAGACAGACAAAGATAATAAATATAATAAATAAGTTAATTACATACTATGTTAAAGGACAATTAAAGGAACAGGTATGGAGACTGCAAATGCTGATAGGAACAGATATTGATGGTGGGTTGCAATTTTAACCAGTTTTCAGGGGAGTCTTCCTTAATCTGGAGACATTTAAGTAAGAACTTGGAGGTTAGAGAACTGGCTATGTTGATTCTCTGGTGAACAGTGTTCCAGGTAGAGGAGTGGGCTGAGCTGATTTATGTTTTAAAGTATTGTTCTTGCTGCTCTACTGAGGATAGGTGGAGAGAAGCAAAGGTAGAAGCAGAGAGAACAGTTAAGAGGCGACTGAAACAAGCCAGGAAATATGTTGTTGACCAGTTTGTACAAGGTAGAGATGGATTCAAGATCTAGTCTGAAAATAGATTGAATTGAATTTTCCAAAACGTTTGTATGCAGGCTATAAGAGGAGTTACGGATAGCTATGAGATTTTTGATGTGAGCATGTAGATGACTCTGAGCATTGTAAGATGGAGAAGACAGGAGTTGGAATATGTTTTTAGGGAGAAGATTAGGAATTCACATGTTAAGTCTGAGATGGCCATAAAAACACTTACAAGCTGTGTGACCTTGGATAATGTTACTGACTTTCCACATAACTTGGTTTTCTCATCTGTAAAAGAGTGAAGTAATTGTTCCTACTTCATAGGCTTGTTATGAGGACCAAAGCATTTTTATACATAAAGCACTTACAAAAGTGATCAAAACAGAATATACAATGTGTACGTTTTGCCTCATTATCATCATTAGATATAATTCCAACCTATTTGGGGCTTATTTAAGCATGCATTATTTAGTGACCATCTAACTCTTTCTCTTTTACAAAATAGGAAACCAGTACTGTTATTATAACTGGAAAATAATAAATTAGTTCGTCATTTTCATACTGATTGATAATGTCATGTGTTTATTACAAACCAAATTCTTCTGCCAATCCCCTTTTCCATGCTATCTATTCTTTATCACTGATACCTTCCTTCATTTTTATGGTTTGGCCCCAAATTTCATTTGTTTCCTTCTCTATCCTTTTAGG